CCTGTGTCCCAATCCCATTCCCATGTCCCATTCGTCCCATTCCCTGTGTCCCAATTGTGTCCCATTCCCATGTCCCATCCCCGTGTTCCATTCCCATTCCCTATGTCCCAATCCCATTCCTGTGTCTCATTCCCATCCCCATGTCCCATTCCCATTCCGTGTCCCATTCCTTGTGTCCCATTCCCATCCCTGTGTCCCATTCCCTGTGTCCCATTCCCATGTCCCAATCCCATTCCCATGTCCCAATCCCATTCCCATGTCCCATTCCCATTCCCGTGTCCCATTCCCATGTCCCAATCCCATTCCCATGTCCCAATGCCATTCCCTGTGTCCCATTCCCATCCCTGTGTCCCATTCCCATGTCCCATTCCCATCCCCGTGTCCCATCTCTATATTCCAATCTCATTCCCGTGTCCCATTCCCATTCCCGTGTCCCATATTCCCATTCCCATTCCCGTGTCCCATTCCCATCCCACAGCTGGGATCTCCCAGCCACCCCAGAAGCTGAAAAACAAAAAAAAACCAAGAAAACCCCAAACCGGCGATTCCCGGGCAGAATTCCTTCCCTTCCTCCGGGAATTCCATCCCCACCCTCTGCTCTCCAGACCTGGGGTGGGATTTCAGCCGACCCCCCATTCCCATTCCCAAACCCCGGATGAACCCAGCTGCAATCCGCCCCAGGAGGTGAAGAAGGAAGGCAGGAGCGGTGATTCCGTAGGGAATTCTGTTTTTATGTCGGGAGGAGCCCCCGGAGCTGTCACATGGCGAAGAGGATGAGGAATGCCACCATCAGACAGAAGAGCCCCATGGCCTCGGACAGCGCGAAGCCCAGGATGGCGTAGGAGAAGAGCTGCTGCTTCAGGGAGGGGTTCCTGCCACGGGAAACAGCGGGGTAAATCCTGGGAATCCTGAGCCAAACCGGGGGGAAATCCCGGGAATCCTGAGCCAAACCAGCCTGGGAATCCTGAGCCAAACCGGGGGGAAATCCTGGGAATCCTGAGCCAAACCGGGGGGAAATCCCGGGAATCCTGAGCCAAACCCGGGGTAAATCCTGGGAATCCTGAGCCAAACTGGGGGGAAATCCTGGGAATCCTGAGTCAAACCAGGGGTAAATCCTGGGAATCCTGAGCCAAACCAGCCTGAGTATCCTGAGCCAAACTGGGGGGAAATCCTGGGAATCCTGAGCCAAACCAGCCTGGGAATCCTGAGCCAAACCAGCCTGAGTATCCTGAGCCAAACTGGGGGGAAATCCTGGGAATCCTGAGCCAAAC